ATCTTGTACCTAATTAGATTCTCTGCTCTTCAGCTCTTCATCTGCTGACCTGAGTGCTAAATAACATTTAAGGAAACATAAGTAGGCATGTTGGTGCTACGAATCAGATGATTTTAAGTTCTTACTAAGAACCTATTCAAAACCTGTATGCCCGAAGTAGGTAAATTTTAAGGTATACTCATGCATGCTGTTGAAAGGTGTTATTGGTGTTTAAGGTACCCTTCCTAACAGCATTAGATTCAGAATTTGGGGAAGTCTTTGTCTACAATAACAGCAAAGATAAATATACAAAGCCAGTATTTGTTCTAACAAGGAGAATGGACATAAATAGTTCTGTACAGATAGTAAGGCAGGCAGTTGTAAATTAGATTCTTATTGCAGAGGACAAATACTGACAAGATATTATAAGAGTATGTGGTGCTAGAAGCAATATGAACAATTTCACAGATTAGCACTCATTTAAATCCCTCAGGGTACTGAATGAATTTTGCCAAAATCTCACTGAGCAGAAAAAAGCGTGTATCGATAAATATTTTTTTTTATCTTTGTATTTCCTTTCTGTTTTGAAACCTTCCAGCTTTTATACATCCAGACTTCATCATAAAACCCATTTTTTTTTTTTTTTTTTACTCAGCTCTTATATCTCAAAGGGCTGGCATATATTTTATTCAGGACCAGCGGTACCACCCTGGTTTTTAGCAATTTACTCACTGAAGCTTAGGACGGGAAACCTGACCTTGCTGTGACATCTTAAAACAGTGAGCACTGTCTTGTCCTGCTACTTGATGCTTGATTGTTAAACATACTCTCCTGTTTACCTGCTTTGGCACCAGCATGCACAATATAGTCAAACATGTACCACAAATAGAGATAGCACAATTACAAGAACATTGTACGGAGAGTCTGTACTCCACCCCCAGCAGGTCAGTCTACAATCTAGTTTTTTTTTTTTTTTTGGAATTGATTCTAAAAAAACATCTCCCTCACTCTCACACATAGGTAATTTGAGGCAAATAATGAACTTCTGACATTTAAAACTAGCAATGCATGTTTTTTCCCTGCAATGTTGTTGTTTATTTGCATGACACTGGAGATGTGCCAGATGTTCTAAAAAGTCACAAAAAACACATCTTCCCTTCAGCTTTGTAAATAGCAGCAAATCCATTTAAACTCTTTGTCAAACCTCTTTCTTGAACTTGGTATTGGGCTCCTATCCCAATCTTATCTAGGGCCTGTAGGTATTCTTGTAGTAGAGACAATAAATAACACAACCCAAAGTATCTGGGAGTTCATGGATATGTAACTACTATGACACTGAGATCTGAAATAAGCTGCAGGCCTGCTGAGAATTCACAATCTCATCAGAAAACAGATAAATAACACCAGTGAGTTGGCCAATAAACTGTACATGACAGTCACAAGCATTGCTTTTCTATTCACCAGTAGGTGAATATGGGTGAATGCCAATGGGAAAGTAAGTCTCTCAGCTTCAGTAATCTTCTCTCTCAAGCAATAGATAAAGACTTGCATACCCATAAAGACTGTTGCAAAGCTCCCTTGAGAAGATAGTAGTCCTGTTTTCAGTGTAACTGACTACATGAGGCATCTGTGCCTGAAAGCCTTGTAAAACCCCATGCTATTCTTTATCACTAGCTTCCGGACCAAAAAGGAAAATCCAGGGGAGGGAGGCACGGCAACAGAAGCTCTCACGCCTCTTTTGTTTCTCTGCCTACCTTATGCAGCCACAGGGCTTCTCTAACTCAATACTCACCATGTCTTTGGATAACAGTCATGGAAGCATCCTGACGAGGATATGAGCTGTGGTCTTTCAGCTACGTAGAGGAAGGGTCAAAGAGCAAAGCTCAGCTCTCCAAGCATACTAGACACAATGACTAAAATAAGATTTTCCACTAAAATTGACATCGGGCTACAGGGATAAGGTGCAACCAAAGTAGTTGAAAATTAGGCAGATGAATGTAAGGAAACGAAATGTGAGACTGGTGAATAGAGAGAAAAAGAAGTTGAGAAAGAAAGATCCATGTTTCCCTGCAGTTTCTTGCTCATAACAACATCCTTCTTGTTAAATCCCTTAAGTTAACCAACAGAAACAAATAGGTGCTGTGGCATCTTGCAAACAGGTCTCCTTGCATCTTGCAAGCAGCTCAAACAAGCACTGTTGTAAATTCACCTGTTCACCCAATACAAATATTAACAGAAAACGCCAAAAATCCACTTTTAAGCCTCCACTGGAGGAAGCATTTTCAAAGCTTTTCTTCCAATGTGGAAGAAATCTCTGCTGACCTAGTTTCCTACCCTGTTTGTTACCTCTTGGCTGTCTCATCTGAGGTCCACCTGCTGTTTCTCCATCTGCCAGCCTTTTTTAGATCAGATGAACCTCCAGAGTTACACATTAAATGTCAGGCAGGCTTGAGAAAAGTTGTTTATGTCTGCTTTTAAGCAGATTGTATTTTCCATTAAAAATGCAGCACGGAGACACTAAAAACTAAGATCTCATTTGTTTTTGGTTAGCGTAATTCAAAAACAAGCCTGCTTACATGAAAACTGATGATATTTGTTCAGAAACTGTGGATATCTGTACAGAACGTAAATCAGTGGAAATACTCCCTTTGTTTTCAGGGAGTTAGGGAGCAGAACACTGCATTATCAATTCCACTGTGTACCATCAGTCTGACAAAAAGCTGCAGCACAATCACTACTCCTGGAAATCCCCAAAAGTTTCAAGGATTATCTCCCTAAATAGCAAAGAAAGAATGATGGGAAATTCATCACATGAGCATGCATTGCTGTGTGGTGCTAAACTTGTGCTGGCTCTACGGACATTGTAAAGCCTCCATGTTAAGGCAATAGGAAGCTTCAACATACGTTGCATCATGTCTTAGAGGAACTAAGAATTTAAGATTTTTAACATTTTATGAGTAGGCAGAGTCCTCTACCTATCTTCTATTTTCCTCTTGGATGAATTTCAGCCATCAAATGCACAGTCCCGCATGCTCGAGTCTCCCAGTTCTTGGAGAGAGTTGTCTCTCCCCTGATCCTCACGGAGCTGATGGACCCTCTATCCGTGTCAGATGATTCTCTACAAGAACCACAAATTCTAGAGTGCCCAAGATATGAAATCAAGGATGAAGTTCATGAAGAGATGCAGACATAACACTTCCTGAGTTTAAGACACCGTAAATTACCTTAAGTTTTCTACAGCTATCTTGAGGAAATAAAGTCACAGTGGGGGGAAGAGAACATTTCTTGCCCTATTCCTCATGCAAATATAATAACTTGAATGTCATTATAACAAAAGCACGTAGCACAAGTATTAACACTATAATTTACAGTAATAAAAGCATTATTACAAGTGTTTAATTAGTAGCCATTGTAAGACCAATTAAGGCTGTCAAAATAAAAAGGAAACAAAATGTGATTTTTCCCCTGGAGAACTGGGATATAGTGGGACTCATTAAGTCACAGATTGAGGACAGAAAACTGCTTTCAGTTAGAAATAAAATCTAGGCTCCTAGAGAAAAGTGAGCTGAGAGGTACGTTGCTCTCCAATAGACATTACTTAAGCCAATATTATCACAACACAGTAGAAGCATTTTTAATACCCTTTAAAAATTTTGAATACAGAAATAGCTATTCAGTTCAGCTTTAGCATCGTTCTGACATTTGCAATCCACACGTCATCGTTAATTTCACTGCAGGAAATGAGACAAAAAAGGCATTTATTCTACCTGGAAAGGATGGCTGGACAGCCCTTAAGGAATCTAATTAGAACACAGCTTGTTACCAGAACAGTGTATCACACTGTGCTACCATAGTTACCAGGATCCCATGGACCATCAGGGTCATCTGAGGGCATGTTGGCAAGAGGCATGAGAACAACACCAAATGCCTATGATACATTTTGAAGGAACACCTTGAAAACTCTGAATAACTTGCTGATATTAGTCTATGAAAGAAAAGAGTCTCTACATGCTCAGAAAATTGTCATGTCTCAAGAATCAATTTATTCTTATTACTCCTTTTTAGAACATACTGCTTCCCAGATCTTATTTAAGAAGCATGTGACTTATCTGCAACATCTGAGCAACAAAGCAGTTTGACTCCCTAATACAGGAACAACACAGCAGTTGAGACCTGGGGAAGAGTAATGTTAGAACTGTATTTTATATCTAGATGGTGTTTCCAGTGTCTGCTGCAGTACACCAGGCATCTGACCAATCATCAGGGTGGCAGCTCTGTTACTGCTTTTGGTGGCCAAGACTCTGCTAGCTCACTAGGGAAAAAAACAAAAACAAAAAAAAAAAAAACACCCCACAAGACTGCATCACTGAGCTTTTCTTGCCAATTCCTTCACATAGAAAGATCCTTTAACAATATTAATAATTACAGAAGCATGATCATACATTGTATGCCATCCTGCTATTTATTTACCATGGAAGCAAACAATAGACATTAAAATAGATTATAACAGTAAATATGTCTGTGTAGAGAAATTCTTTTGACATACTGTGTCAAGGACTGCAGACTGCAAACTGACAATGGTTTGTTGCAGGTTGCCATGAAAAAGTTCTGCAGAAGAGCAGAAGGCTTTAGTCTTCATTATGCACTTTAACTATTGCTGAAAATATCCACAAATTGTTTGGAATGATCAAGGAGATGATAACAGTTTTTAAACAAGAGTTTGATTGCAATTCTTTTGAAAAATAATTTTCCCTAGATAGTTTCTCTTGAGGACAACAATGAAAATTTCAACACCAGTTTTCAAAGCATGTAAGGCCAGTCCTGATACTCACATTCTCCTTTCTACTTTTAGTATAGAGCAGGCTTGTTTGCTTCTTTTGTTCCCCCTGTTCCTTCTCAGGAAGCCAGAAAACCTGAATTCTTCAATGCAAGCTCTTGGAGAGAAAATTAACTGTTATAAATAATGACAAGCCTAGAAATTAATTTTTAACAGGTTACATTTTATTTGCTTCAGTTGAACACCATTATTTACAGACACAAGTTAATAAAACACATCACACAACAATAAGATTTCAACAGTTAATATTTATAGGTGCATAGTTCATGCTCAGTTACTTTTTTATATATATAATACATAACATTTACATAAAGCTTTCACAATAAGTCTTTTCTGCACAGAAATAATAGTCATAGGAAACAAATAAAAATTGTATCATAAACAATATCAAATTACTGACAGCCTATCAACAAAACATGTACAGAGTTAGAAATAAGCAGTAGACACTTAGGTGTTTTTATTTAGTATTTTGTTTTTAACTTTTAAAAGTGAAGCCACAATATCCACAGCACAACAATGACCCTGCCAACCAGCTTTCATTTCAGCAGGAGGGAAATGCTGAAACAAGGTGGATGCAGTCACAGATACTCCAATCATTGCTGATGGAAGACTTCAAAATACACTGTAAAAACTGTAAAAAAATTTTACGACTGGGCACATTGGAACTCAGCACTTGTACAGGATGGGACGTCTTTGTTAGTAGATTTCAGGAGATATAAAGGAAGAAAAGATTTCTCATGCTTCAGGTTCATAATCTTGATACTCTTCCTATGAAGGAGAGCAGAAATCAATGCTACAATTTCAGACAAATATATCCTAACATGTATCTTAACTTTTACTGATTGTCCTAGTCACAATGGATGCAGCAAAAAAATAAGGATTTGTGTGTGATGAGAATCTTGTCTAGTATTTACTGTTTTGTCCCATTTTCCAGATACCCTATTTGACAAAGTGTGGTGTTAACAGGAGTGTAAGCTTTTACAGTAGTTAACATATCATTCACAGTTATCACAAAGACTTACAGCATTTGTGACTAATTCCCAGCAGAGAAGGAAAAAAAAAAAAACAACCAAAAAAATAACCTGTTTGTAGTTTACCTACACTACTCTTTATCCTTTTTTAATTAATTATTTTTTTAATCCCATTCATGTGGGTGGAAACAAGCTCCTACGTTTAAGCCGGAATCCAGCAAAACAATTGGACATGTTCTTTAATGATGAAGATCACAAATATTTGAGAGCATGTAACTGGGCTCTTCAGTCTGCTTACGGTGAATTAAATGAGTCTCTTTTTGAAGGATCAGGAGTGCAAACTGTTTTACAAAGGCCCACTGCAAAACACTTCATTCCTTACGTGCTTTACTGAAGCAATAGAGGCAGTTAAACTGTATATCTGTGCTGAGCTGTTAACATACATTTTTTCAGGCTCATTATCTATGTGACTACAGGACTTGATTCAGCTCACTTGGAACTACAAAATGATCTCTTCTGGTCCCCATTGACATTGCCAGAATTCCGTGAGACAGCCCACGTCAACTCACTTAGGACAGGAGGAAGAACCTTTGAACAGCACACCAGGTGCTGCAAATACTCTGGAAAACTGAAGAGCATTCAAAGTTCAGGTGCCCTTTTAAGTCCTTCACTGCATCAATTTCTAGATGCCTAACATCTCTGGTTTTCAGCCTGATTATCTGCACTACTGTAAAACTGCCACTCCAAATGCCAATGCATCATAGTATCATATACTGTTGTAAAGTTTCAGAGAGCATAATCAGGATTAGCTCAAAACCCTAAATAATTTACTCCTATATTTGCATTAAGCTGTAAATATATTAACTATGTTTTACGAAGCATGGTGCAAAGAAATACATTAAATGTCCAACCTATTAAAAGAATCTATGGAGAGGTAGAAGTTTCTCTCCACAGTTCGTATCAAATATGAGAAGAAGTTACTGCTGATTACTCAAAAAGTGAAGCATGCATGTTTTGAAACAAAGATAGTATTTTCTCATTAAACCTCAAGAAATGGATTTTTTTTTTTCCCAGCACTGCACCTCAGAGAGATTTTGGCCAGAGACTTATTTCTCCTTTGACCCTGCAGCTCATAGTACCAGTCTGTGCCACATTAACGCAACTCCAGCTTTCAGTACTCTGTCTTTGCCTTTCTCCTATGGGCATGAACAGCAAATACCACAACAGATTTACCTCTGGAGGCATTTCATAAGCCTCATTGTCAGGATCCACAGGAATATCAGTATTATTCACCACCCCTTCCTGCAGGAAACCTTCTTCATTCTACATTTAAAACAGGGAGAGAAAAAGAAAATAATAAAGTCTCAGATCAACTGCTTGCCCTCTCGTATTCCAAAGCATGTCTTACCTCCCCACGTGGAGGATACTGACTATAAAGGCATGCAGAAGTAAGAGGAGGCCAAAAGGAATTTGACAGCATCAAGACATAGAAATAAAACAGTAATTCTTTTATGTATTTTATTATAGGCAGATAACTCATCCTCCTACCCCTTTATTCCATTTTACAGTTTTCACCCTTCTCATATTATTTTTCAAAGTGGCCAAAGGAAGAACAACTGTAATTTATTGTATGCTTTTTCCTCCCTACAGTTTTAGTACCTAATGATATTGGGAAACATTTTTCCCTTAACGAGTCATAGTTTTAATCCTTTATTATGTTGAGTAGCACCTCACTGTATGCAGTATATTTATGACACACGACACTGCCTACCACACAACTTCTTACACGCTTCTCTAGAGATCTGTTATTGACCATTAAAGAAGCACTTCTAATGCCCCCTCCCACTCATCCCCCTTAGCAGTTGTTAATGCTGAAGGTCACAGAGAAGAAATGAAAGTTTTACCAGAACAAAGACTGCTGGAGTTAGTCCTAGAAAATTGATATGAAAACCAGAAGATTATCTCAGCGGAACTATTTTGACTATACTCATTTATAGCAGTTGTCAATCTACACAGAAAAGTACTAGAAAAATCCTAACAAACTCAGGAAGAAATTCACTGAAAAAAACCACAGTCCTGAGGCTAGAAGTGTGGAAAGGAATACTAAATTAATTCTGTCACAAACAAGACTAATGAGGAAACTCTTCAAAATTCATAATTTATAGGACAGTTCCGCTAAACTGAATTTAGGATGTAGATGAAAAATGAATAAAAGAGCAGTTAAATTGGAAACTCACCTCTGCCAGTTTAACAGAAGATATGAAGTAATACACAAAAGAAGCGGCCTGAAAACTTCTTTACCTTAATGCACTATTTGTCATGCTCCCTTAACGATTCCTGATGACTATCTTAATTTTATGACAGATGAAGGGCATGGAGTGAGCACCACATACTGAAGAAATATTATCTTCACTGGGAAAACTGGATTTAAGACTTTTTCTTCCCTCTGCCAAACAATTATTTGGAATGAACACGAGGGAAGACTAAATAAAAAGGTGCACGCATTAATCTACAATGTTGTAACACGTAGCTCAGCACTGGAAACCACTTCCCCATGGTCCTTAACAAGTGTGGTGGTTGGGCAGAATATTTGGGATGAACTCCTAGTATATGAAGACATACAGCACATCTAAACTTAATTAACTATCTTCATTGCATTTCCTTAAGTGGACGAATTCATAAAGAGCTACAAGACCTCAAGGATACACTGAGATTGATGAAGTACACGCAAAATTTCATATTGAATTTGAAAATGCTTAGCACACGACCAAAATTTCGCTAACGTTGTAACTGAATTCAATTAATTTCTTCGCTCTTTTTGATACTTCCTAATCTTTATCCTTTCCTTTATAGTCTTCTTTCTTTTATTAACTTCTTCATATGAACATTTTGTACATCATAGTCATAACATGTATTCAGTACTACTAACAAGTCTACACTGTTAAAACTCTACAAACGCAGGAAAAAAGAGTTAAGTCCTGAAAACCTCAGTTTCAGACACTCAGTATCAAATACCTTTTATTTCTCACATCGCCCACACTTTAGATACAATTTTTAAATGATTACTCTTCTTTCACATTTTTATATTCTCACACAGCATTTAGCACTGACTTTCAGACTTATTCTGCTGCCTTTTTCAGCTGGTACTCCCTTCCACCATTTCCCCTCAGGTATCAGCAGAAGTGTGAAGGCTATTTACTTCATTCCAGGCTCTCTGTGGCGTAACCAGCTGTCCTCAGTCATACTCAATTCTTAGCTTGCTATATCTCTCCATGCAGCAATAGTGACTTTTTCCACCAGAAATCCTGCTCTTCATCAGTTTGGTCGTATCTTTTCTTTGGCACCCTTGCCTGTACATTGACATCTTTAACCCTCATCTTCCATGCACATTATGGGCAGATTTTATTTCTATTACGTGAATTTCTCTCACGCTCTTATTTCAGACTACTATTATAAGAGTGACCAGCATCAGTTAGCAGCTCTACTGACTGATTTTCCTTTCTGAGAGAAGTTACAATGGGACACGTCTGTTCTCTTGGCAAGAGAAGCACACAGTCTTTTGGTGAAATTCTCATATATACCCAAACATAAAAAGATTTAGAGCAAGTCACCAGTGTAACATGAAAGGTCCAGTAAGAAGACATACCTTGCTCCTAGATGGTATCAGGCATCATTTTTCATGTGGAGGTAAGCAAAGCAGTTTGTGCAGAGCCAATGCATGGTATTCTGCCCAGCTCCCACCCCACGTGCTTGCTATAAAGCATGCTTTTTTTTTTTTTTGGTCTGTGCTGCTATTTATCACAGACAACGTGAATAAATTCCGTAACTGAAAAGACACAGATAAACAGAGTTGCTAATACCTTTCTTTAGCCCTGTGTTTTCCAGAATTAATTATTCTGGATGCTCAACATGACATGCAGCGTTTCAAGCATAAAACTATCAGAAAATAACAGGACTACTTACAGTTCTACCCTGGTTTATCAAAATGCTCAAACTCCAATTGAGCATTGAGTTTATTTGATGTGCAATATTTAATTACCATATTCTTAAAGCATATTTTCACAGTAATTCATGCCTGGTTACTTCTCTGAGAAGTAGACTCAATCCCTACAAGCTTTGACTGAAATAGCTAAATTGTGTGTGTGAGATGCAAATATTACAGCTGCCTCATCTGACGCGTTAGATCTAAGGGCCTTCAGCTCCTTTTTGCTCTCACTCTTATTCCAAAATGCCATTCAATTTCTGCTATCACCAAAGAACAGCTTTGGCTAACAATTGGTGCATCAAGTGAAAGTGTGCCCCAGATTCTCCCAGCGGCTGCACAAGGAAGAATAAAATGTAGTTCAATGTTATCTGCAGCAGGAAAACACACAGCAAGTGATACCACCAGAACTGCTAGGAATAGCAAGGCAAAAGATTTGCCAGCAGAATTTCAAAGTAGAGTTTCAATGCTCATATGCTGCTTGCTTTTAGGAACCTCTGAACTACCCATCAGAGTTACAGATAAACAGTAATTAAAAGAGGCAGAATTTATCTTCCCAACTTCCTTTATCGAATCCCAATGGTAAGTTCAGGATGAAGAATTACGTATAGCTTCAGATAGAAGAACCAGTAGCACTAATAAAATACAGAGATCACAACATCAATATTTTTCAAATTCACAAACAGTACCAAACCAACAAGGGAACTCTGCCTAGTAATGGCTTGTCACCTTCGTAAGCAAAACTCTACCTCTCATCTCGATGTCACTGCAACTCAGATGAGAATGCTGTTACTAAAGGTCACATCTACTATATTTAACTATATAGCACAGGTGGCACATCAGTTTTAATGGCTGCTCTCTCTGCTTCTCATGTATTTTCTCTAAAGTTAGGACATCACAAAAACAAAAAACCTCCCCCAGTAACACAGAGCCACTTACAATACACCTTATATCATTACTCATTTCCTTTAAAACAAAGCAATGCAATTTTGCTTTCTTGTGATCAATACTTTCATGTCTCAATCTAATTATAGAAGGGGAAAGCCACCTTACAGAACAATGTTCATCTTATTACGAAAGATTTATTTTCTTGAAGCTGCCAATTGTCCTTTTTAAACCATACAGAAAAGCAACTCTAGAGGGAAAACTTTTAGTAGAAAATGCAAAAAGCTAAACATCAAGCATCTGAGAAGTGAAATCAATTTTTAAATTGGGAATTCAAACTTTTTGCAGGCATGGTATTAAAAGAATGGTGAGGTGAATGCCTGCTTGTCCCCCTGAGGCCTCCCTGAAGAATAAGCAAGGTGCCTGTCTGTATCTTGTTTTGAAATAAAGAAGCTCTGGGAGAGACCTGCACTTCAGCATTCTCCAGTCTTTTGGAATCACGTCACTTAGGAATTCCTCCCTTGACAAAGCTTTGAGATTATCAATCTTGGAGAGCCCAAGACCTACCTGCCACCAGACAGCCTCACCAGCCCTCATTCACTTTCTACAGGAATGAAGGGCTCTCTTCCAAAATTTGCTGTTCTCAAGCAATTTAACAACACTTTGTAAATGAACTTAACAACATAAATGTAAATGGAGAGAGCAGCATGCCATGGTAAAATTGTATATCTGCATGAACCTGAACATCAGTTCTAAACTAAACAGACAACTGCTATACAAAAACAGTAAAAGTCAGATATGAGGCAGAACTCATTACATAATTTAGTACAATAGCTCCTAACGATTGACTCCTCCTTCGCTATAGGGACAAGCCCTGATAAGCAGTGTGCATGACAGTGCTAATTGACCCACATTTGCAATACAATATTAAGCTAACATTAAGAAAGCCTCCCTTGCCCTTTCTTTTTATAAGCCAGGGAAAAGTAAACAAAAGGGTTTCTCTTATTTCATTGCCTTTTGTTAAAATTACACCCATCACTCGCATAACACTCTTGAGCTAGAAGTAGAAAAATTGTTGAAGACTGTCTACACTTGGAAAACAAATCAAGTGGTCTGCTCATGCTCCAGCAGTTTAGGCAGCACCAGGTAGCAAAATGGTAACATTTGGTCTTCTCAGTGACGTGTCTTTGAATGCTCAGTTAGTTTCATCGCAAATAAATAAAATATTTTATCTCAAGCCACCGACAAAAGCAATATTATAAATGGAAGCAGCATAACTATAACCTAACCTAGCAGTAAATGCAAGTATTGTAATTTACTATCTCCCTGGGTTATCAGCACTTTTTTTTTCCCTATTATAAATCCTGAAAAAGTCTTACAATCACATATAGCCTCATAATTACTGGAGAGTAATTCCACCTGGAACACTTCTGTATTCTGAGATAAGTAAAACAGA